GTTGTTGTTTTTTCTAAGCTGCATTTTCCAAAACTTCCTCCCGATGGAAAGCAGCAAGCCGGACTTTCTGGCCCACAGGGCGGATGCTGCCGGGAGGGGAGGACCGCAGCGGCCACCCAGCCAACACGGGCAGCGCCGGCTGAGTTTGGCCGGCTCCGAAGGCGGGCACGGCCACCCCTGCCAGGGCTTGCCCCCCAGATCAATATATGACTAAAACCTTTTTATAGGAAACGCTCGGGGCAACGAGTCTGCTCGGCAGCTCCCTCCGCCTCGCAACCATCAGCTCCCACCCTGCCGGGCTCGTGGGTGGAGGCGACAGAAAACGGTCCCCAACCCGCTCCATCCACCCACTCTCTCTATGTGCATTACACCCCGTTTGTGCCTGGGTGCCCCCCCACGCGCACCCAGCGCTCCGGGCCGAGGAAGGGCTCCCGGGGGCTTTGCAAGGAGGCACCTGCCCCCCTCGATCCCCCACCGAAAGCACAGGCAGCCGGTGTCGTCAGACCGAGACCTTTTCCCCCCGCAGCCTGCCGTGCCAGAATAAATGTTGTGAAGTCCATTCTGGGACCTGGCTGGGGACCAGGAGGCTGCTCTGGCTACAGGTAACAAGAATTGCAGCTCTCGGGAACATATGGTTTACATGAAACTAAAAAAAGATCTACAGCTCTTGACATGGTATTGCTTCTCTGCGATATGTCATTAAGAAAAGGCAATGAGAAAGGAGAAATTTAAGTAAAACCTCTCTCTGCTAGCTGCAAACCGGGGCAGAGCAACCTGGCCCCGGTCAAGGGGGAAATTTGTTCAGAGGGGATCAAAGTAGTTAAAAATGTCCCAGAACACGTGGCTGACGAGATCCCGGGGAAAGGGACGGCTTGCGAAGCTCCTGCTAAAAAAAAGCATGCGTCTGCTGGACAAGAGCAAATGCTTAAAAAATAAAATCCTTGCATTTGCTCTCTTAAGAGATGTCCCTTAGATTCCAATCTTCTCTCTCCCCCTTTTTCCCTTCTTTCTAATTCCAGAAGCACCGCAGGATCTGGATTATTTCAGGGACGGTGCCGTTGGGGAGCGGTGCGGGCGAGCGCACGACCCACACGCATGCTTCATCACAAGCGAGGGGCTCGCAGGGGCCAGGACCCCCTAACCAAGGAGTAAAGGAGGAGAGAGATCAGGTGGCTTGAAGCTTTTCAGGGGGCAAAAAGGGGGAATTTATGCAAAAAGAATACAGGCTCAGTTTTGATATCCCTGGCATCTACGTCACGGTTCCAGATTTACACCCTCACAGCCGAGATCAGGCTCCAGGGTAGAAGGAGTAGAAGAAACAAAACAAAATCAAAAAGCCAAATGCTATTTTGTTTCCTGCCAGAGCTGAACAATCTTCAAAATTTCACTCTGTGGGGAAGCAGCTGAGCTTTTCTGAACAGTCAAAAAGGGGAGGAAGGGAAAGGAGGAGGCAATATGCTGAGACTCAGCACAGGTTTGGGGATCCTGCCGAGCCCCAGCACATCCCCGCTGGGCTGGGAAGTGAAGGCGACGTTCAGAGCTCCCCGAGGGAGAGTGTTTAGCAGGATGATGGACACGCTGGGCACCAACGCCCGGTCCCCAACACACCCGCGAGGCCGGTGGGCTTTGCACGCCGTGCACCCCGACTCTTCTCCCCGTGTTTGCACCCGGGTGGAGCGGATTCGGGGTTGTGCTAAACCAGCTCCAGAGATCGCGAGATCCCCTACACATCACCAGGTCCTTCCCATCCCTAACAGACATAAAAGTGACTCACACACCAGGTGATTTCAGCGGTTGTGCAGAATTTGGCTGCTTCTTATAACTACCTGTGGTACATGTAGAGCTGCAGGGTTCATGGGAGGAAAGCTTCCACCTGTACATGTCAGCAGCACTCACACCTTGGCCCTTTCTTAACAACTTCAATCTGTTTCTAGCGATAAGCAAACAAAAAAAAAAAAAACAAACAAAAACAAAACAAAAAAAGGCATTTACAAGGCGAGCGGTGATAGGCCACGTCAGACACACACATCTGCCAGCAGGCTGCAGTTCGGTTGGGTTTGGGTTTGGGAGGGGATTTGCTTTGTTTGGCGGTTGGGTTTGGTTTTTCTGATTTTTTGGGGTTTGTTTCGTTTGTTTTAATCGGTTTGGTTTGTTTCACAACATACCTGTCCTGAGCCCCAAGTAGAATCCCCAGCCCGGTTAGAGGCAGAGCTTCCACTGTCTAGAAATAGAGAGAATGGGATAAAAATACCCACAAGTAGAAACAGTTCAGAATTTAACAAAGTTTGCATTTTCTGCTCAAATACACCTGGCCCTCGGCATACAGCAACTAAAGGTGCAGTATCTCCTCCCCTGCATCTCCAGGGCCGGGCACGCCAACTCGTGCTGCTCAACGCGGCAGAGCTTTCAGCTGCTCAAATCTCAGCAGCTCACTCCTTCCAAAAGCCTACACGTGGCACAGGAGTTTATAAGCTTGCTTCTCAAAGCACACTTTGCTTTTAAACACCAAGGCACGCCATTTGCCTACCCGCTGCTTCGGCCACTCTTATTTTGGTTTGGGTTTTTTTGGTTTATTTTAGATAGGTAATTTGCATCTCTCATATCCACGTTGTGCTCGAACACGTAATGCCATTGGGAAAGGAGTAACGGAGTCAGCCTGGTGTACGAAAAAGCATTTGTCAAAGCAAGACTAACAGTTTCTCCCAGTTCAGTGCATCCTACGTGCTGTAAGGTTGTAACACATCAGGGATACTGCACCTTTACAACAAAAGGCTTCAATTCTGTTCTCATACCTTTGTGCAAACCCTTGAAACGGCTACACTGAAATAGCGTACAAGGTTGTATCCTGACATCCAGTTGTCTCTGGCCTGGCGAGATATGCAGCTTGTATGATTTCTAGGCAGCAGAAGCTCTGAAATTGCCTTATTTAGTTGTTCCTAAGAAAAAGTTGAGGTCCAGTCTATCAAATCAACCTTTAAAAGGACACTGTTGAGAATCCAGCCGTTTCCTTTCGGACCCACCCTCCTTCCACCGCCAGCACTGAGCCTCCAGAAGGATTAAAAACAACAACAATCTCATTTTCCCTGTTGATTTTGCTCTGTCAGTTTGGCAAATGGTCGCTTCCTGCGTTTGAAATGGAACTGAAATGAATGTGACTATTTTTTGCGAAAAAATAACAACCCCGGCTCACTATAAATAGTGCTTTATCTTCCCATAACAGCTCTGCCTGGGGACCCGCATCAGCCCCTGATCCTGGCTGCCGTCGGTTTGCTGCCTGCTGTCACCCAGCCAGGAGAGGGCTCACAAGATGACAGTTTTCAGTAAGATCCATTAAAACATAGTCAACATCTGGATTCTGTACATTAATTTGCCTGGAGAACAGGGTATACCCTGCCCTCGGAGGCACCAAAAAACCACCATGTTACCCTGTGACCGAGACTCTTCTCCCTTGAAAGGAGAAAATAACCTTCAGAATAAACTTTATGCTACATCTGAGGACAGAAAAATCTTTCAATAGTGTCCATTTAATGTATGTGATCCTAAATAAAGAGCTGCTTCTATGCGTAATGAGGTCGCAGGGACAAAGTCTTTGCAGATAGATCAGACATTTGGTCATAGGGCAGCGTTTAGCTCTCTCACCATTTCAAGCAAAGACAAAACTGTCATTTTGTTCTCCTCTAAATGCAAACAGCAGCACATTGTCCTACAAAGCTGGTCGGTTTTTCCTCTTTTATTTTTTTCTTCTTTATTATGAGCTTTCTTATAAAGTCAAGTATTTTCTTCCCTGCCTGCACTTTGCTTCTGCTTTTCCAGCAAGCAGCTGCACCAAAAATTAGCACCTGTCCTTCACCCCCAGCTGAGGTCTGGGCTGCCCGTCTTCCCAAAACAGTCCCCGAAGCAGAAGAATAATCCTAACAAGTGCACACGAACACCACAGATCAATGTCCAGAGTCCCTGGGCTCACATTTCTGTGTTTTATTTCAGTTTTTATTTTTAAGCAAAGGGGGAAGCTCATGGTTCCTGTTGCAGGATCAGCCCTGGCTGCACACCGCAGCATGGGCATGGGATGAAGGACGAAGGGTGCCTTTCCCCTGGCATGCCGTGGAAAGACTTTAACTGCTCCCGGAGAGGAAAAGCAGCACCGCATCCCTACCACGGCACAAGAGGCACCCGCCCATTCCCGTGCCAGCGGGGCTTGCTCCCAGAAGAGGAAATATAACACGCCACGCTGGTGCAAGGTGCTCCTATAACTGGGTAACTCCAGCCACACTAAGAACTACAACGGTTTGGAAAGAAATAAAACGCCCCACCTCTAACCAACACTGTCCTGCGTGTACAGACTGGCTGGTTACAGTCTGCAAAGAGAGATCCTCCCCTGCTTGTTCGTTGACAGGGAATGATAATGAGCAAAAAGCCACCGTCCACCCCAAACTGAGCCTGGGAAGGTCTCGAGTCCAAGCTCCTCCCCAGAACTAGGTTGATCCCAATAAGAGACTGGGTCCCACAGGGCCTTGCACAGTCCGGTTTTGCCCGTCTCCCCGGATGGAGATCCCCCACCCTGCCCGTGCCCAGGCAAGAGGTTTTCCTTGTGCTCCACCGCCATTTCCCTCAGTGCAGCTTCTGGCTGTCCCCTCCACCGCCCTTCCTCCTGGGGGAACAACTCCAGTCCCCAATGCCCCAGCCCCCTGCCCGTGACACGCCAAACCCAAAACCGCATCCCGCCGTCAGTACGGGCTTCATCCTGCTGCGTTGGGTGCCAGCAGGAGCTTTAACCCTGGCCTCAGAGCTGGGGCTCCTCATCCATCATTCCCACCCAGGAGATACAGACTAGTGATTAGCGTTACAATTGCAACTGGGCTTGAAGTAATAAATAAAAAGTTGGGGGAAGGGCACAAGGAGGCTGGCCCGACCCAGTCCTTCTGCCCCAGTCCCTGGAAGCAAGGATGGCCCGTCCCTGCGGTGGTGGCAGAACAGCCGGACGCCGAGCCTGCACACACGCCTGTCTCTCCCTCCTCCACAAGTGCCCACACAGGCAGATGCTTTAATTATCGATGACATTATGGGACTGGGGTGGAGAGCAATGCCTCCATGCAGTGGGTGAAGCCTCTTGAAATGAGGTGCAGGTTGTTTTGTTGCCTTCCCCTCCCTCCTCTTTTTTTTTTTTTTTAAAAATAAAATGACATGCCTCCAAACAGCATGTTTCCTGCACCCCAGCTGCCTCCACCGGCCTTTCAGCTGCCCCCCCCAGCCAGGAGGAGCTGAGCATCTCTCAGTCCAGCCTACAGCCCCAGCTGTGCCTGGATGCAGCCTTCTGGCAAGTGCAAAACTTCAACTAAACATATTTCTTTGGATATTAACATTTAGATCTGAGAAGTTCGTATTTTATTCTAGAGTGGGGGGAGTAAGAACAACCAAGGGAAGAATGGGGGGGGAAAAAAAGGCAATGCTGGGTATCCTTCCTGAAGGGGTTTAAACCCCAGCCCTGTGTCTTCAACAGAGGGGCAGCCAGGGATAGCGCAAGGAGCTTTTTAGTACCACAAAAACCTGCACCGGAGCCACTGACAGTCTTTTGTGATCATCCTGTAACAGCCAAGTTAAAGCTCTGAAGTTTAAAGCATGTCCCTGTATTCCCAGGAGGTAGGAAAGCATTAGACCCCTTTAACAGCTACTGGGAGAGGTGTGGGTACAGGGTGCCAGGCAAGGCCACCCAGGGAGCGTGGAGGGGACCAGGCGAGCCCCAAGGGGCAGGGCCCTCGGCACGGTGAGGCAGGGGAGCTGACGGCGCTTGCCCTCAGGGTGCTAATGAAATGCCTGCTTTGGCAGCTGAAGGCAAAGTTTCCAAGCCAAGCCACGAGAAGAGACGATAGACTCAAGCCCTTGGCAATGTTTAAATGTTCTTATCATTAAGAAGTTTGTTGATACATTTGGCTGCATGGACATTTTCTTTACCATAAGTTGCTTTTGCATAAGCTAGCATAAGTTCTGGGTAAATACAGCTAACTATAACCAGAGAGCATCTGCTCAGTGCTTTACATCTTCCAAAGCTCAGCAGCATAACCCATGTTTTACTGGTGGTGAGGACTGGGAGACAGAAGAGTCAAAGCAGCAGAGCCAGGAGGAGACCCACAGGGGAGGCTTGGGTGCCATGGGCCCCCAACAAGCCGTGGGGGTGCACAGCAGGACCCAAATCCACAGCTGTGGGTCTGGGACCTGGATGACTCCCAAGGGCCTGATTTCAGCCCCAGCTGTCCACAGATTGCTTTAATTTGTGGCTGCTCCCCAGAGAGTCCCAGGGCACCCCAAAAGACCCTAGACACAGACTTGTGGACAAGCACTATCCTGAGACTCCCTTTCACCCAGCCCATCCTTGCCTGGATGAATTCTCCAGCTAAAGATAGATTAAGCCTTTTTTTACCTTCCCACTACATCTTATAACACTACGACTGCAAACCAGCCATTCAAGGAACCCTGAAGTGACGGCCCTATCAATCAGTGAGCTGCCACTGGAGAGCTTTGGATTTTCTTGTCAGAGCAGTGACTAATTTCACTGCTTCTGCATCCACCGAGGAAGCAAACCCAGGCTATCTCTGCAGGCCCTACAGAAGAGCTCCTGTTGTCCTGCTCTGCCTCTCAGCTGTAGTTAAGCAGGCAGGGCCATGCCCGGGAGCTGCTGGAAGCATCTTCCTGCCAACACAAGTGAGGAGGATCGTGGGTGGCCGTCAACAGAGTGGGTAAAAAGGGGCCAGGACCAACTTCTGCTGCATCAGAACTCAGAGGAAGGGGCCTGGGGAATCAGAGCAGGGCAGCAAGAGAAGACAAAAGGAAGAGGCTTCGTTATGGCCATGGCTCTGATAATGACCTATGACAGGCAGAGCACAATGCACAAGCTGATAACCATCAGCATGGACTTGCCAACATCCCCACTAAGGAGGGCAGTGAGTTTTCCTCTTGCTTAAATGCTCTCTTGACTTTCTGCTTCCAAACCTCTGGCCCTTCCTTCCAAATTAACCCCCAACAGAAAGCTTTCAGATACATCATCCTACCCCCACTTACCTTCTGACTTCCAAAGCAGATAGAAACCATACAATGGGGTCTGCATTGAGTACAGGGCTATTATGAGTCAAGAACAGCAACAAATAGGATTGACTATAGTTAAAGACATGTCTCCTACCTTGCTTTGTGGGTTCTGTTCCCTTGAGGGCTGGTCATGGTGACAGTGGCATTTGAAAACGGCGTCTCTGCAGATGTGTTGATGGCTTTGCTGTTGCTCAGCTCCATGTAGGTGCTATTAATGGTGTAGGTCACAACGCCATCAGTGTCCTCATAGTCAACATAGAGGCTGTCAATGTGTGACCCCACAGAGTTGATTGGGTCTCCCTGGGCAAAGATGCTGTTCATGGTCATGTTGAGCATCAACTCCTTGGATTCCGAGGTCTTGTCCAGCAGCTTGTCCGTGATGGCGTTCTCCGAAAGGAATTCCCTGGAGGTGAACCTGGGGTCGAAGTCTCTGTCGTCATGGTCTGTCTGGTAAGTAGACCTGGTTACGTTTGAATCTAGATTGGAGCCAACAGGGGGAAACAACAGTGACAACCACAAAATGCATTCAGGCTGGGAGGCGAAAGCAGCCCGGAGCAGCGGGAGCACGCCGGAGCCTGAGCAGCCACCCAGGAGGCTAGAGGCAGGAGTTGGGGTCTTGGGGAGGGGAAATCTCATGGGGTTGTACCCCTTTGGGAAGAGTGTGCAGTTCTGTGGGTCTCATCCTGCTATCGCATGGCCAGAGGAGAGCTCAACACCTGCCAGCACCGCCCCAAGCAATAGCAGAGGTCAGAAAGCAAGATGCCCTCCTGGCCCCAGAGCCCATGCAGCCATGCTGGGAAAGCACTCAAGGCAGTTTGGTGGTGGGATGGCCAAGGGACTGGAGTGGGAAGGAGGTTGCTGGGGGCTGGGCAGAGGTGGGAGGCGATGGAAGATGTTGTGACGGGGACCTCTGTGCACCCAGGGCTCCCTCCTGTCCTTGGCATGAGGCAAAGCACGGCAGGGCACCAGCGGGGAGACCTTACCCATGGCCACCCCCCCACCCGCCAGAAACCAGAACCTGAAGGGCAAAGAGGATTTATGAGCAGAGACGTTTTAAAGAACTTTCCAAGGTTTCCAAAAAACAAACCAGCAGAATCACCAGAGGTAGAAACAGAGCATTTCTCAACAAGAGCTCTGAGAAGCAGAACAGTGAGGCCCAAGTCTCCTCCTTACCTTGGGGTTGTTTGCCCTTCAGTTTTGGCTCACAGTCAATTGTTTCTGCTCTTTCATAGACCTCATTGGTTTCCTGACCTTTGCTCAAGTTTAAATCTTCCTCCGTGTCCTGCCTTCCAAACACCTGGTTCTCCAAGTCTATCCTTTCCCTGGAGATTTTCCCAAAATAGGTTGCATTGTGCTGGATAAAACCCAATGGCACGTCTCCATCAAACTCTCTGCTTTCTTCGCTATCTGACTCAGAGAAGGTGTAGTAGATGGGCTGCAGATTTTTTGAGTGTGGCTTCCTCAGGAGGGTGTATTCAAATGTGATGGATGGATTCTTGCCATTTTGATTCCAGACCTAGCAAACAAATTAAATTATTAGCGGATGCAGTGAGTATATGGCATGCAAAGCTTGTGATTCATCTTGGACTTGACAATTTGAGCATCTACTTTGCTATTTCCAATCTGCTTTCCATTGTATTGCCAACTTCTTACAACTGGAGCCCAGCACAATTTTCCAAGGGTTATTTGGCAGCACTGCCCTGGAGATTAGCCCCAGCTCAGGGACTGGGAGCCGCAGGTCACGCTCCCTCCTCTGCTGCTGAGCAACCAGAGACTTGGAAGAGCCGCTTCAGAAGTTACTGACCATCACTCGCAAACCCATTTTTTGTGGCTTTATGGCGAATGAGGAGCATGCACACACACCCCTTCAGCTACCACATCCCCACTGGGGATGGGGACTCACAGCTGACACACTACAACATCTTCTATTGTCCAATGCTTCAAAAGCACCCAAGCAGCCATCCCTTCCCCTTCCAGAGAAGCCCAGGGTTACATGAAAGATGGCAGGAGTTGGGCTCTGGCTGGCTGCCCAGAAGGAAAATTAAATGGCTTTTCTTCATACGCCTGGTTTTAGATAGTTTGCTTTCAAGAAAAGAGTTGGAGTTTAAGATTTGTGCACTTCTCTAAGCTATCTGGCCCAATTTCTTATTTTTACTTTTCCTGCCAGGTAATTTGAATAAAAATGCCAAGGAGTAAAAGAGAAATCTCCCCGCAGTGCCCAAGGCATCTTCTCCCTGCAGAGAGAGGTGTTACCAAGCCCATGTTCATTATTCACAGCCCTGCCTGCATCCGAGAGCACTGACGCGAATAAAATAGGTTCGTGCAAGGAACTGGGCACAGTCACTGCTCCCACTGCCCTCCTCAACCTGCCCAGGAAAGCTGGGAAACCACGGCAGGACTCTGCTCCCACACCCACCCCTTCCTCGATCCAACACAGATTTTCCCTTCCCCGTCACCCCCAGCCTCGCAAACTTGAAAAGTCAAAGCACACCATTATATTCAACCCTTGATTTGTCGGTCCTTGCGCAACAATATACTCTATGCCGGTCTCATAAACATCCATGGGCCTGCGGTACTTGAACACCGTGCCTGCAATGTTGAAGTTCTTTGGACTGTCAACTTTGTAGTTCCCATTGAAGAAGTAGTACCCAGCTTCATCAGCCACAGCTTCAAACGAGAGAGAGGAAAATCAGTGCCATCACATGTAAGAACAGAGATATGCAATATTGCCACTTGTTCATTCAGGGGATGAAATCATTAGAGTGTCAGTCATAAAACAAGTTTCTCCTACGTTACAACGCCTTTGTCACCTATTTCCAACGTGTATCATGCGAGTACGTGCCCAGAATTCTGGGCCATGCCTCCCTCTACATTGCAAGCTCCTGGGTACGTGGCTTACACTAGTCCATGGCTCCTCTCACCCTTTTGGCACTAGCACAGCATGAATATTTAACAACCACAGCTCTGCAGACAATAAGCGGGCTGTCAGATGGCCAACAGCAGGAGCCGCCTCCTTGGGAGCACTGAGCTGGTGCCACCTGACCCAGCAGTGGCCCAAGTCATCCAGAACTAGCCCAGGAACGGCACTAAATCAAGCCTTTTTCATTCAAGCCTTCCTGCACACAGCCACGAGCCTCTGAGGCAGCCGAGTATGATGGTAGCAAATGTGCTTCTCTTGGGCAAGTCCAGATTTTTTCCACACTCCTCCTGAGCAGCTCTGCCAATCTCCATCGTGAGATGGGTGGTGTGGCCACCAACGCTTCAGCGAGGCAACACTTAGGTCACATCTCCTCGGTGCTGTTGTCCTGTGGCCACTGCACGTTCCCCAAGCGGGAGAAGAACAAGGGGATCACAAGAGAGGTGAAGTCACTTGGCTATCTGTGATCCGGCACCACTGTTTGTCATACCACACTGAAGTAACAATAATATTGACCAACAGTTTCTGCATTAAAGCAATCAAAGTGTTGATATATACAGCCCAGGTGCTCAGACTGTAGAGAGAGAAATGCACTGGCTTAGACAACGCCGTTGTGATTTACATTGACTATGGATTTAGCTCATGTCTGCAATAAAACTACATTCAGCTTTGCATTGGAAAAAGCATTAGCTAGTATAGGCATGCATTCTAGGGAAGTACCAAGAGGTTATACACACCCAGAACATCTGCAGATTTTTTCCGTTCTACTATCTGGATATCCCTTGCTCCAGCATGAATGTGCGTTACCAGAGAATAGCCTATGGGAAACTACAGATTAATGAAAGGAACTTTGTAACAGATAATCTGAACAAAACATCAGTAGTCAATACTGCAATATATCAAGCAAACTGGCCTTGATCCAAAATTATTTTTAAGGAGTTATGGATTTAAAGAAAAAAAATAATACTGTTGATAACTGTTAGGCTGCAATCAGGACCTTATTGATAATAGATAAGAAAAATGTGCGAACTATGCATCCCGGTTTATGGTGGAAAAACACAGCCAAGGGGGGGAAAAGATGCAATCTTACATGCACAAATATCACGTTTATCTGAAGTGGTGTAAGAAAAGATATCTGAAGACTGCTCTGTCAGCTAGAGCAGCTGTCTTGTGGTTCAGTATTGAACCCTGTGCTAGCCAGTCTTCCCAAAACCCCAGCAAGAGATTACAACTTGTTTCTCCTCCAACTCCCCTTTGCTTAGCACTAGGTAAGTGATGGGACAAGTCCTCCTAAGGCCACTGAAGTTCCTGCAGCTTGCTCCATCTTAAACCGATCCTCAGAGAGCATTAATCATTATTCCTGAGTTAGATTGCTATATTTAGGACAAGTGGGTTCTGTTGCTTTACATCATACTCGTTTTGGAAATCCTGGTCTTCCAAAATATCCTCGCTTCCTGTTATTACAAATCACTTATTTCTAGTCTTACTGGGTCATGAGAAAGAAGACTAAAATAGACGCCAGCCTCTTGCATAACACTCTTGCACCATTCAGCGTCAGAGACCTCAGGCTTCTGACAAGCGCCATGCAAAGTTACTGATTTTCTTTAAAGGCGGCTTTCCCTGCCCAAATTTACAAGCGGCATTAACACACATAGAACACGTGGGGAAAAACTGAAGCAGAGCTGAAAGCAATTTACCAAGAAATAAGTACATTTAAAAAATAGCCCTCTGGTACAAATAAAGCAAAAGGTCCCCAAAAGCCTTACCAAGATGGGAATTTCCTTTCCGGTAACTGCCGGTCACGTGAGTGCAGCTGCTCCCATCTCCTTGGCAAACTCCACATTTATCCAAGGTGTGGGTGGAAAAGAGAATGCCATCGCATCCAATTGGCTAAAAAATCCACAAATAGAGTATTGAGGGTCAGGCAAATGTCGCACCCATTGTAATTGTCTGAATGCTACTAACAATATTTTTGCTATAATGTTTAACAACCTCACATTTTCCAGACACGCAAACCCCTCGGAAATCAGTGTATTTGCAGGATGTTCCATCCCGAGCCTGAACCATTAACTGTCTCTGACCATCCACAGTGGTGCAATGGAGGTCACAGGGCTTGCTAGAAATGTGAACATAGTCATCTAAGGGGAAAGGATATAAAGATATATTCAAAACAGCAGAAACAATAACTTTCATCCTACCAATGTCAATGAATCTCTGCCAAGCTAAACAACAGCAGCAACAGCACAATTGCACAGCAGCCAGCAGTTCAGAAGCTACCATCTCTTGTGTTTCAGGCCGGACAGGAGATTGCACTTCTGACAGCGTGACAGCCCACTGCTGCAAACCTTTGCACAGGCAGGCAGTCCCCTCTGCTGCCAGGACCAGATGTGCCCAGTGATGCTAGCGGAATCGCCAACATCAGCGCAGGGGAGGCACGGAAGCAGTAACAGCCGCTGTTCTGTGCAAGGACTTGCAGTAGTGATATATGTACACATTACACAAAAACATATGCATATTCACATATCTGCTTCTAATACATGAGTTAAATTAACATAGATATATTGTTATAGATACATATACAAGTAAGACTATATTCAAAACCATAGCAGCTTAAAACATAAGAACTTTTCTATAAACATTCACCCAAGTTAGACTTAATTTGCCCTTTGCTTTCTGCAAGCGGCTGGCTGGCTGCATCCACTGGCACAGTAGTCCCACGTTTTATAATATCCACAGGAAGCAAATGACAAATTCTTATTTGCATCAGAAACCCAATGCTAAGTGTTGAACTCCGCCAACTAGTGAGCGGTCGTATACCCACTGGCCTGCGTCCCCAAGCAAAACAGCATCAATGTCAAAACATTATTCTGCAAATCCCCCAGGAGCCACGTGAACGCCTGCTAAGAAACAAAACAATTCACTGTAACTATTCTGGTGAATCATCTCAAAGAGCAAATATGTTTAAAGAAATTGTCACCTTGCCATAGGGAAGGGACAAAAGCAGCCAAGCAGCTAGAGCTAACCAGCCTGCCACGGGCCAAGTTCTACCACGCTGACCCTGCCAAGAAGGCTGGCGAGACAGGGGCTTGTTTCACAATAAAGGAGGCAACAAGTAATTTCATGAAGTTGTTCTTAGGTATGGACAGAGATCCCTACAATAAGGCAGTTGCATTAGATCCTGTCTCTATTTTTAGACACCCAAATGGCACCGTGAACCTGAAGAACCAGCGCTCGGGAGCCTCCTCCTCAGGAGAAGGGTCCTGGCTTCCCAATAGCTCTAAAAATTGGCCACAATTTTTGTTTAATGCTTGATTTTGATGGGAGTTAGGGGCCTAAAAATAAAATCTGTCTCTGACTCCTAAGTTATTTCTGCAGTTCCGCGTCGCTCACCCTGAATGACCAAACTGACTGACTGCATCTCGGTGACATTTGACAGAGCACATGAGGGGTATGGGAGTGAGCAAATGTCACTGAAATGCAACGCGGCCAGTAACGGCCCCGGTTCAAAGGACACTTGTTCAGGTGAGCCCGACTCTCCCTGCCAGCCCAGTCCATCACCCCATGCTCTCGCATCCTCCTCCAGCCTTTCGGCTCTCTGCTCCTTGGGAACTGTGACCAACACAGGCTACAGCCGTAAATTCATGTTATTTTACTTTAAGCCACCCTGCAGCTGCAAAACGCGCCTTTGAACTTGGGAGACAGCTGATTGTGTCTCTGAAAAATCACTTTAAGACAGCAGAGGAGGAGCCTTCCCACAGGCTATAGCATCATAACTATCAAAATATTTTGGCTAAGCATTATGAAACACACAAAGAATGTCTTGTTACCAGGATATAAAGGTTTCCATTGATACGTTCTGCCGTTATACACATGGGAGTTAAATGATGAACACTGCTCCTCTCGAAAGCTCCTTCCGTTCGCAGGGCACTCCTAGAATGGGATACATTAATATCCTGATGAAAACAAAACGCAGGAAAGGTTTCTGGCACATCTTGACCGGCTGCAAGGAGCATTTCCATCGCCTGCCCCATCCAGAGCCACATCCTCCTCCTCCCACTGCAGGGACAGCCAGGGGAACCCCCCCAGGAGATGGTGCAAGAACCACCCGCTGGTTTTATGGCCCCCAGCGCAGGCAAAAGGCCTAAAGCCCCGACACAACCGTGATGGGCACCAAAGAAGGGAACTCCAGTTACTTGGAGGGGCAAAGGGGTGACAGCTACAGAACAAATGGTGTCCCCTCTCCGAGGGGCCCAGAAATGCCATCGCACAAAGCAAGCATGACTTTCCACATCTTGTATCGAGTGTTCCTGATGAGAAAAAGGATATCCTTACTTGTACTTTGCAGAGCTGGTATCTTTTGGATGTTCCAGTGCAAGTTTTATTAGCCAGCCCACTCACTGACTTTCTTCTGAATAAAGAAATGATGGTTAGACAGGGGTCAGAAACCCTTCTTCTCCCTTTTTTAAATATATTTGTCTTCTGCTTCTGCAAGATCAGTCTCCATGTAGTGGAGCCACACAGAGATCTATCACGGTCTCACTGGAGTTGATAGCAAAGGTCTCTCTGGCTTTGTTACCTGCAGCATCAACTATTCTTATTACAGCATCCTAGGAGGTATCATGGGGACAAGGGCCTGGGGACAAGGTTTGCAAGGTGCCTTCTGGCAACCACACAGCCCGGAGAGGGCAGAGCCATGCACAGAGCAGCCGTGATCAGCGGGTGCCCAACCAGCCCCACACCACAGTGTCCTCGCTGCTGTGCCCAGAAGTTTGAGAATGGGCTTACGCTATCTGCGCTAATGCCTGCGGGAGAAACTTCAGGGCCAGCGCAGGAATAGCTTGGCTGGTCCTCCTGGCAGGGATGCCCAGGGCGCAGCATCCTCACGGCAGCATGCTCAAGGACATACTTACCTTCTGCACAAGCAGGGTTTGCCAGACAACACTTTTTCACCAGTGCTTATCTACTGACCGATGACCTCCTGGATCAAGTCTATCTCCAGCAAGCTGGAGTTCCCCACACCCTGGCAGGCGGGCGCCGTACCTCTGCCGCAGGCAGTGCCTCTCCTGGGACTTGACGCCTCCGCCGCAGGTCCTGGTGCACGCCGTCCACTTGGTCCACTCGCCCCACCAGTACGCAGTGACGTCTGCCCCTTCCTCCAGGCTGTTGGAGGTCTGTGTCAGGTCCTGCTTGAAGCACCAGGCAGGTGTTGGGGGGAGAAGCAGCAGTCAGCATCCGCACTGCAGAGCTGGCGGGGGTGGGCTGAGGGCATCCCCCACCCAGCCTGCCCTGAGCGAACAGGGCATTGCCTTCTCCATTGGAGGTCAAGTCTGAGATTTCCATCGTGCAAGAAACCCTGCATTTTTCCAATTGTGTTTTCATTACAAATTGGAATGAAATGGCAATATTTGGGATTCCTCAGGAAAGGAAATGTTCATTGTTTCACTCAGTTAGCAAAACCAAGCTCCCAAACAACCCTAAACCCTTCAAGTCTTTTGGTGCTCTCTGACTCTTGCTCCACAGTGAATTCAGGGAGCTGAAGAGCCAGTTGCAGCCAGAAGCTTCACTGAAAGCCGAAGCAAACCCTTGCAAACCCGCTCTGCAGCAGGAGAGCATGCCAGTGGATGCTAGCAGGCTGGAGGAACCCATGTGCTCTCTTTGCAAGTACGGGTTTGTGACTTCAGGAGGGTCCTTGACGCCCCACCTCCCACTCCGCAGCCGCCTCAGGCAGCAGTGTGACCATGCATCAGAGGGCAAAGGAGCTGCTCCACCAGCAGTGTCACCACCACATGCCTGCGCTCAGGACGGCGTTCGCATCCCTTCACAAGGGGCACAGAACCTCCTGGGGGGGTCCCAGCACCTCCTGGGGGGGTCCCAGCTATTGCTCATTGCAGGGGGAGGGATGTATTTTTCTATCCAGAATCACCTGCCGGTTAGCGGCATTCTATTAATTCTGTGTTTACTTGGAAAGGGATAATAATATTCCATGCAAAGTAAACGAAAGCTCCAACTGCTGCAGGGACCCAGGAAGCGGTGTTCACCCAAGAGCAGGGCATGGCCTTGCAGAGCCCTGGAAGTGATCTGTGCGCACTCTTAGCCACAGAAGGTACAACTTAAGCCCAGACTAAAGAGCTAAGCCAAGTCATACATTCTCACGCTTGCTGGAGACCTGATGCATGCACAGACCATCCTGCAACTCCCAGGGGTTACCCATCCCAGACACTACAGCATTTTAAAGCCCGGAGACCCCCCAACAAGGTAACGTGCTTACCTGAGCTATCACAAAGGCAACGTTGCCCACAAGAAGAAGAGCCAGGGTGCCTTTCAGCTGGGATCGCACACTGATGGAGATGCTGCTCCACCTCCACTTAGGTATCTTCATCCTAGAAAGCAACCAAACACCACCCTAAGCAAAACTCCCATCCAGCCCCACCGTCGAGAGCAGGGGCTGCTTTGCAGCCTGGGTTACACAGCACATGTCTTCTTCAGCATTCCCGGTCAGCTAAGTGACACCAACCACCAGTGACTGCAAGGACTTGATCCTGAAGTTATATTTAATTAGTGGAAGCATTAACACGGTACAGGTTCACATCCCATCTCGGTTGCTATCTTCCAAACCACAACTTTGCACTGGTTCCCAGTGGCTGCACCTGATACCACCAGTGCGAGCTGAGGCTCCGAGCCTGTCTTGGAAGAGAGCGTGGCTTACACCGAAGCAAGCTTTGCACAAGAGGCAGCGAGTAACAAGAGTGTCTCTGGATCTACAAAAGCAGTGCATTTAAATATTCCCATTTACAGAATTGTTCCTAGAAGAATGAGATAAAAGGCTTCATAAACAAAAAAAATGCAATTAACAGCCATTATTTTTCCTTTTTTCATTTGTTCCATTTTTAATTCCCACTGATTCCCAGGGAAGAAGCCTGTTCTTATGGAAAAGAAACCACCCACAATTAAAGAGCAGAAATGAAGTATCCCAAGTGTCAGCCTTTCATCTCTTTCTCCATCTGCTTCATGAAAGAGAGTAACCCAGAATGGCATTTTCTTAAGTAAAACCCAGCTCAAAACCACAATACATTTTATTGTGAACCTCACTGCAAGAGCCAGAAAGGAGCAGGTTTCAGGAAATCATGCTTCCAGGCAATCAAAGCAGCTCATGTCTGTAAGAAAAAGAAAAAAATATTCTCCCCTAAGCTAACTTCCCTTGAAGAGTAACTAGACAGTATCTTTGGGAGGTAGGGAGGCGGGAGAGGTGCTGCTCCTGGGGAGAGGGGGCAGGACTGCAGACCTGCAACATAAAGAGCTTCTTTCCTACCCCTTTTTCTTCTTGCAAGGGCTTTTGTAGCAGTTTTGCAAATGCAGAATTGCCGGCAGTGCTGGCACGGCTTTGGGATCTGGCTTAGAGAAATTACCGGAGGGCTTCCAGGTCCCCAACTCTGCTTTGCGATCGCCCCAGGATAGAGGTCCAGCATGCAAAAGACACTTTCCAAGAGGCAGATCCATTGATTAATGGAAGCCCAGAGTGCTTGGCTGGGGATCCCGGGGACAGGTGGCTGAGACTTGCCTTACACTTGGTTTTCATTAAGGCTTCCAGACACTTCTGACTCAAAGCCAATAACAGAGCTCGCTCAGAGTTTATCCTAGAGTCGGTCAGAGCTGCATGTTTAAATAGAAGAACAATTAAAGAAGGGGGGGAGGGATGTCGCCGACAAGCATCG